TAACTACATGAACCTTAAAAACATTAATTAGATCAAATAATACTACTGTTATACAATGAAGTTAAAATTTCTAAATAAGGAGCTAAGTCCAAATTAAGAATTAAGTATGTTTTTTAAAAATAAGACATGCTACCTCTATTCAAAATCTAATTTGTTATTGGAGGATAGAATTATTACTTACTATTCTAGGCCCTAATCAAAAGCTTTGGTTTATGTGGAGTTAGGTCTCAGCATGTCTTGCTTAGTTTCTTTCACAAGCTAAATCGATTTAGATATAATCTTTATTTACTATTTGTATGGCTACACTGGTATATTAACTGTTGAAATTTGAGAAACAATGAAGAACCTCTTCTATAGAGAATTTCTTTCAATTTCTCAGACATCAAAGGAGGAAAGTAAAAAATGGCAGTAAAAGGGAATTCAAATTTACCAAGAAGCCACAAAAAGCAGTTTGGATACGGATAGCAGCCCATTCTTGCCTTACAACCTTGAAATCTTTAGGAGGAGCTCGAACTACTCCTGCCATTGCAGCGGTGAAAGCATCAGTCTTTGGTGAAGAATCGGATCCTTCAGAATCTGCTCTAAACTTTCCTTTAAACCCCTTCCATGAGGTCCCCAAGTCCCTTGAAGAACTCCATAACCTCAATTTCTTAATCTTGCCACTAAGGTCGGCAATCCAATCCGTTTCCGATAAATTTCGATTCGACTCGATATCATATGACGAATTTTTTTTTTAAATTGAATTTCGGATCGAATCAGATCCAATAAAATTAAAAAAAAATTGAAATCGAATCGAGTTGAAATTTTAGATAAATTGAACCCAATATTATATAAAAATTATTTTTTATTAATTATTTAATTTTTTATTTATATATATTTATATAATTATATATTTAAATATTTATATTTTAAAAAATAATATTTTATTAATTTTGAATCGAATATAATTTATACAATATCAATTCGAATTAAATTCAAATATAAAAAAAAATTTTAAAAAAATTCAAATCAAATCAAATTCTTAACGAAAAAAATCGTATCGACCTGACCCCTGCCACTCACCTTTTTCTGCATAGCGAAAGGAAAAACAGCTTTAGTGCACAAATGTATGTAACAGTAAGTAACTGTATAACGAAGCATAAAAGCGCAGAGCTTACTTGGTCTTCTTTTTCAGTCTTCTTGAGACCAATAAGAGATTTCACCCATTTCCCTGAAGCACCCATCGACGGTTCAAGCTATATCTTTTGTCAGAGCTAAAGAAAACGGCATTTTTTTAAAAATTTTATGGAGGGAAGAAGAAAACAGAGAAATGAAGCAAATTTGATCTTAACTTAACTCAAAAGGAGGCTAGTTGATAAGACAAAGGAAATGGGGCAGTAATGGGAACAGTGAATAACACAATAAGAGTGAGAAAAATGAACATTCTTCTTTTCTTTTTTTTTTTTTGAAAAAATAGAACTAAAACAATTGCTCAAAGAAGAAAACTTTCTCTTTTTTTTTTTTTTTTGTAGAAAAAGAAAGCAGATTGAATGAACACATAAAACAATAATAAAAACCCAAATGGAGAGATTTGAGATTGAAATAAAAGCTCCCAAAGAGCCAAAAAACAAAGTTTTGGAAAACAATGAAGAACCCTGAAACCAGAAGGAGAGAGACAGAAACGTGGGGAAATTTTGGGTTTTGGGTTAGAGGCTTAATATTTTGAAATTCAAAAGAAACCAAACGAACAAAGAAGGATTGATCTCTTGATCCCCCTCAATGGAATTCCTGCATGTGATAAGACTTTCTGTGCTTGCATTTGGTCCCACTGCTTTCAGGAAAATTTGACATGCAAAGGGACGTTCCCTTCGTTATAGCACGCGAAAAGTCACAAAAAAAGAAAAGTTAACTGACAAAGGATCCCTCTAGTCGGTGCACTGAAGATCTGGTTTCTTTGTTAAGCTGTGTGGCTTTTTCTAGTAATTGGCCTGGGACACTTGAATGGATAGTGTTAAAATCTCTGTTCAATCTTACCTTTTCTCTTTGGAAAAATTTTTACTCCCCGAATGATTTTTTTTTTTTAATAAAAGACCTTAGTTTAAAATGATTCAGATGATTCAAAGCTGTGAAAATTTTCGTTTCTTTTCTGTATAGGGTTAGAGAATCACCAGAAAAAAAAAAAAAAAAAAGGCTGAGGGGATGATTGGTCTGGTCTGATGCCAGTAAGCATTGAGAATACCACAAATAGCAAGTAAATTTTACAGCTAGGTGGAATTCAAATTGTCTGTAAAGACAAAATCTGATTTTCAAATTTCTTGACAATGAGGATTTGCTTCCAATGTAACTTATTATATAGTCTGAGATTTCTAATTTAAAACCGAGTAGTCGGGTGAGCATAAATCCATTGAAACAGATTTGATTGATCGAAATCGATTGAATTTTATTAAATTGATTCGATAAGTTTTGATAATAATCAATTTAACAATAAAATCCTAGTAATTTAGTGTAATCTAAACTGAACTTTTTTGCTTGGGATTCTCTGTCAATGGATAAAAAGCATTAGAAGAAGTCAATGGTATTCTTTTTAAAAAAGCAGTAGGAATTAATAGTGCTAATGTAATTGGAGTAAAAGGCAAGCAAGTTTATGGTACAGTCGTAACCCTTTGGTTGTTTGATAAAGCTGCCTGCTACTGAATGAATATGAGCCGTGAAGTGTGAAGAGGAGATGCCATGGAAATTATGAGAGACAGAGGCAGAGGCAGAGGCAGAGGCAGGGGCATAAGCAGAGGCAGAGGAGCATTAAAGTAAAGCATTTAACTGGAAGGTGTTTGAGGCAGTAGTGGAACAAATAATGTTAATGGTAAATCCAAAACTGCATTTAAAGACAACAGATTTCTGTTCTATAAACCTAATATTGGAGTTTAAATCAATCTCCTCCTGTATCATTATGCCAAACCTACAAGCAGGAAAATTGCCTTTAAAACAACTGATACAACTGTTTTTTTTTTTTTTTTTTTGAAATCAAGACTTTGATAATGGTAACTTGTTTTACCTGAAGTATTACAGGTTGGCTATGGCCGTATCCTTTTTTTTTTTTCACTCAAAAAAAAAAAAAAAAACGAAATGACAGTCTTTGGTAGTGGTGGTTTTAGACTGTTAGATGGAGAGAATGGATTTGACTCTCCTAGAAGGCAAAAAGCAAAAGACTCTCACCTTGGGAGGCAAATAACAAAAGCTACTATTGCCACCAAATAAACTTTAAGTAAAATATTAAAATTTATATATATTTAATTCATTTTTTATATAAAAATTATATATTACAATTTATCTTAATATAAAAATATGAAATATTTTTTTATATCATTAAATTTATATATAATTATTGTTAAAATTTTAAACTGTTATTTTTATATCATTTTTTTCATATTATATTTATATCGTATCATTATATTATATTTTAAATTATCATATCATTCCTAAAATTCATTTTTTTGATAAGTATAATTTATAAAGAGCATAATAAATATATGTTTTGGTCACTCCACATGGCAAAAAAGGGTGATGCTCCTAAAACAAATCAATGAAGGAAGAATGTTTCTTCTCCTATTTTACAATTGGTAAATTCTACTAAGGTATTTCACTTTTGAGCACAATTGACTCCAAATTCATAAAAAAAAAAAAAAAAAAGACAACAGGGGACCTTCAAAGAAGTTTATGAGAAAGATTGAAGAAGCAACAGTTAGAGGAAACATGTTTTAAATGGAAGAAAAAAAAAAAGCAAAGAAAATAATTATAAAATTGTACTAGTACGAGGTTACTTATTTTACTACAAACTACTGATTTCATTTTTTCCTTTTCTGTTTGGTTGTAGAAACTGCAGGAAGTGGGGGTGGGGGCTCTATAATTGTAATATTTGTACTTGTTTTATTTTACTTAAAATGCATCGAATGAGACTTTTTTTTTCAATTCTCACAAATAGTTTAAGTTCAAATGATAATTTACTTACTTATGTCAAGTAATTATATACATCATATATGCATTGTATTCATAGTTTTATTATCAAGGATTGTTAATTGTTTCAAAGCTTATATTTTAAAGACATTGGTCTCATGGATTCATATAACTTCATTGGCTTGAGAATTTTCGGAAATAATAGAGGACGTGACGTTTCCAACTTGACCTTTACAATCCCACATTTCAGTTAGTAATCCACTTGTAAGGAGGTTGTGTAGCAGTTACCACAGTTACGATGTCTAACCCACATATATACAATGTGCATTTGTCTCAATTCCAGACAATGGCCCCTTCCTCCATGTCCATCTAGCTGGTGGGCATGAAATACTTATATTGTCTTTCAGTGCCATACAAATCCATAGGCGACTGTGATTATGATGCAAGAAAAGTCATCAGAAATCAATAAGTGAATGCCATCTAAATGTCTTCAAGTCACAAAACCTACCCCGTTTCTTTTGTTAATCATTGAAAAGCCATGTCTGATAATTTTCTGTATGAATGAAAAAGATAAGCCATGTATGATAATCAATATAAAAAGTATAACAAGTTCAAGCATCTTGAGCCAGTCCTATTATTAGTAAACTCCTTCATGTCACTCCTATATCTCCTTTTTATTTCCTGATATTATACTCTGAAAATAAACATAATTGGCACAATGAACTAATGTTTGGTTAGTAAAAGTTTTCTTAGTTATATAGGATTTCATTTGCCCCCGATGTAGATCTGTCTCTGTTTATCTTGAAGATACTGCCTGTGATTTCTGTTGTGGTGGTATGTGAAGCCAAACCTTCATCATGTCATATGCCGCAAATCCAACTGCCACAGAAGGAACAATCTGACAACCACATCGTAACACACTTCATTAAAATGAAAACCATCCCAAGGCCAAGTAAAATTGGCAATTATATAACAAAGGTCGCACTCAAACAATTGATCTGTTTCTTACAAGTTGCTAATGTTTATGGTTTCTCAAAAGTCAGGATAGAAGGGGTGAAAACTAACGAATACAAAAATCCGCAAATGTTAACAAGTCGGTTGATTTTTTGCTGAGTTTTAAACTACCTAGATATAATTAATGCTCAAGCCTGCAAACAATTGTGTCCAGCCTTGATTCCGGACAATAGTAGCAAGCCCTTCCCATGTGTTTCTGTATACCGTATCACCTTGAATTGTTGAAGGCTGAAGACTTTCAACCTGTAGGGTAACATTCAAAAATTACTTCTCAGCTGTGGCCATCACAAGATAGGTGCCAAAAGGAAAGCAGAGAGAGACACAAATTACTAGATACATTCTATCATGGTTTACATCATCAAGAACAAGCTAGGTGCCATTGGGAAAGCAGAGAGAGAAACGAATGACTCAATACATTTAATCATGGTTGACATCATTAAGAAAAAAAACTCTTATCATGTATATCAGGTTGAATCAAACTACTTCCAAACCAGTTTTTTAAACAGGTTGGTGTATATATATCTAGCACTTACTATAGTAAATGCGAACATCAAAACATTTAAAACATCCCACAAAAGTTTCCATGCTAATACTAACACATGAAATAGACAGCATAATGTGAATTCTCAACAAAATAGAATGACAATTACACCCTCCTAGAAGTATACAGCTATTGCACAATACCTGCATCTGTCTCCTTACAACATCTAATGGGTATGTGAAGGTCTGCCCAAGTAACCCAGCGAGTGCTCCAGAAGAGAGATGCATCACAATGGACTTTTGGTTCTCTTCAGGAACATGCGTCTTTAGTACGTAGGGTTTCAAATAGCGGTTGTGTAGCGGCATTGCGGCCGCTATTTTGCGGTTTCGGTAGTCTCCGCCACCGCTATATACCCGAAATTGGGTTGTGAATAGAATTTACAATCATAATGGCTGCGAGCAACCTTTGCAGCCGATCAATCTCGGTCGGACGGGGTGCTTCCTAACCCCAATAAGTAGGTCCTTCTTTTCATTCTGAATTTCAGAGAGAATTTGGCATGAGCTCGTGGAAAAGCTCGGACCTCCCTCTTCATTTCTTCTTGTTTATTGAAATGGGAAGCTGTGCTTGGTGCGAAGCCCGTTCATTCCTTTCTTTTTTGGTCGGGTCAAGGAGAATTACTTGGTTGGTTCCTTTTTTTTTTTGGTCGGGTCTAGGAGAATCAATTGTTGGGTTCTTTGCTTGCTTATTCCACTTCTTTCAGTGGGAGGATCGTCAATTCGCCTTTTTTCTTTTAGATATTTAACACTAAATTTTTAATTAAATTAATTATAATCTTTATTAACTTCGTATAAGATATATTTTTTTTATCATATGTATTTATAATATTTATGTCTTTGAACTTCATAAGTTAATAAAAAAAACATTTATAATATGCATTTTCATTTTGAATCATAACTACAAAACATGAAAAAATTATTTTAATTTATAAATAAAAATTAAAATATCATAAATTACTTTAAAAATTATAAGTACTAATTTTTATTATTATAATTATAATTATTATATTTTATAATAAATTATAAAAAATTAAAAAAAATCACGACCTTAATGATCGTGATGACCGCAATAATCTTCGTTATATACGTAATCACGATAAATACGACGCGACCGAAAACGTGTTCGCAACCGTAATTTGAATCCCTATCTCATAAATGTAGAACTTTAAACCAGCATAAGGGAGGATCCCAGTGAGTGTTGGACCTATATGTCAACAAAAAGTTTCATAGAGTCCAAGCACAACTTGCCGAGAAAGTAATAAGCACAATGAAGCAACTACACTAAAAAACAAAAAAAACAAAAATACTTCAAGATTTCATGTTAAACTAATGAATCTTGACTATCATGAAAGACTGAAGATACTTTAAACAGGACAATACGAATGATCGTGCCAGTTATAAGAATAATGCACAGAACTAGGGGCCATTGTCAAATCAACATATCCATTCTTAATCTGTAATTTGAAGCATTAAAAACAACTGCCTACGTACATAAACCTCGATATAATCCACGTATTCCTGCTTCCTTGTAAACAGTTGTCAGTACATCTGTTATGCCACTGTATGCAGGTTGAGGATATAAACTTCTTGCACCACACCCGAAATTTGTTCTGGTGTCCACAACCTATTGAAATATTAAAGTGGATTAGAAGTGTAAAATAGAGTAAAGAACTTTCATTTCCTTCAGTAATCCAATATATCCAAGGAGAACTTGATAAGCAGTAATATTTATCCAAGGAATGGGTGTACTTGTTCTAAAAGCATCAGTTGTTTACTGTTACAAGTCTACTTAAAACATCTTCCATAAGAACTAATGCATGAGTGCTTTAGTCTAACTTCTATGGGAGAGCAGAGATAGAGGAAAATGGTAAAATAATCTGTTAACTTATAAAATCCAAGAACACCTTCATGCTTTAGTACCTTCTTTAAGGATTGATACACCCCAAGAGATTGGAAACCATCAGTCCTTGTCTGTACAATAGAGAGAGAGAGAGAGAATCATACGAAAACTATGAGTGGTAACGTGCATGCCGCAGAAAATATTGGGTCAAAGAAACAAAGTAAGCATGACAAACATACAGCAACAAATACTAACTGATAAACATCCAGCAAGCCCCAGATTAACATGCATACATACATACATATATATATATATATATATGTAAAACATAAATATTTATATTCATATTTATATAACTAAGCCTTAAGCACCATTGTAACTGAAATTAATTTTGCAGGAAAATCACTTATTTGATTGTTAAAGGACTACTGTAAAAGCAATAAATAACAACTATACAAGCCGAAAACCAAGCTAAACATCTAATTAAACTCATCATAGCAAAATGATAAAATAGCAAACACCAATTTTTGGTTTGTATTTACCAATGCTAGTAAAATCTTAAAAAAAAAAAAAAGAGCGACAAAGATATATCTAAGTAGCTCACCTGCAAGAGTATTTTAATCCGTACTAAAGGTGCAATTGTAGTTTTAGCAAAAGCTCCAGCAGCACCACCAGCTATTAGCTCTTTGACATAAACAGACAAACAATCAATGTGGGAAACCTCCCTGCGTGCAGTTGAACCATCAACAAGCCTGGCCATATTTGTTGTCAATGTGGAGCCTTGAGGAGAACCCGTCTAAAAATATCGATCTTTATATTACCAAAATCTTCCTCAATTCAACGAATCTGTCAAATTATAATTACCCACCCTGGAGCTTGAAGAACTCTTTATCCCATCTATCTCTTGGGATACAAAAAGAAAAGGATTTGTGTTCAAATGGTAGATTCAATGGCCTGAGAACATCCAGATGAGAGACAGGCAAGTTCACAAGCCGATCCTTTTCTTCAATAACACCAAGATACATCCAAAGATACAGATAAAAACAGACCACACAGATTGTCTAAACCAAAAACCTATCCTTTCAGTTATAACATTGCTCCCATGTCAAACCCAAAGCTTCGATGCCTTTTATTAAAGTAATCAATCTCTCAATCTAGATTCATCAAAAAGTCTCCTTTAAAGCACACAAAGCCACCATTTTCGAGCCAAAAATAACATAACCCTCAAGTACTCCAAAAACCAATCAATTCAAAAAGTTTCCGATGATTCCAAGTTCAATTCATTCAATAGCCGTGTGAGATTAATCAAGGGGTAGAAAACGTACCAAAACAGACAAAAAGGTTAAACCAAAGGAGAATGCCTAAATTTAGGGTATAAACCAGAATCTAAAAATACATGTTCTCCTTCAGAGAAAGGAGGACATTCTCTTATTGTGTTTTCTCTCCCCCCCCCCCTTAAACGCTCGACTTTCGTTTGTTGTTGTCGTTTGCTTCAAAGGTTGCAATTTTGAATGGGAAGTCACGTGGTCAGGCTACGTTGCAATTAGTTTAGTATTATTATCGTGATTGCAGAAAAATATGATTAAGATGTTAAAAATATATAAAATAATTAAAATATTAAAATAATAAAGTTATTTTATAAAATAATATGATTGAATGTAAAAACTGTTTTTTAATTAGTTTTTTATTTGAATTTCTAAATCTAAACTATATATTACTGTATACTCGAAGTGAAGATTTTAATTTATTGCCGAACATCCTAGGATAGTAGATTAGTAGATCACCGAATTGGATGGACGAGGATGTCTTTTTCAACGTTTGACTTGATATTCTTGGTTTTTTCTTTTTTTTCAATTATTAATTAGAACACTTGGTTTTTTCTTTTTTTTTTTTCTCGATAAATATATCGAGGCTTATTTCCTATTAACCAAGCCCTTTTTTTTTTGAGACCTACCTATGAATCGATGGTATCAGCAATTTCCTAGACAATGCCATGTGTATAGTTTTTGGAACATTCTGTCGCAATCAAGTTGTCTTGTCAAATGTTTAAGAAGTTGTCTGAAATCAGCCATAGTCATCATAAAAACAACCTAAAAATTAACCCTGCCAAGAACTTTACACTTTTGAGAGAAGTTTGAAACAACCCTATTTCCTGCTTTTATTATCTATTACCAGCACGATGCTGTTTCTGACTTCTGAAGTTTCTGCATAAATTACAGGCTTTGATGATTTTGTAACTACAAAGTATAATATAATAGAATTAAGCCTTGTATATATCCACTTACCAACTTTCATGAAAACTGAAGAAAATGTTGGTTACATGTCTTACAATTCAAGCAAGAGAGTTGACTAGGAAATCAAATTCGTACTAAAACTTTTAGTGGGAAATTGATCAATTGTCTTTCATTTTGCATTTGGTCATGAAAACAACTGCATTCTTTCATAAAACACGAATCAACGATCTACGTTTGCTTTTTTGGTGTTTGATGTTAAAAACTGGTACTACAAGGTTGTTTTTGACTTGCCTGGAAGAGGAAATGTTGGAACAATCAACTGGATGTCTTCGTGTTTGGTCTTGACTTGGTGCCATTTTCTGTCACAGTAAAAACTTGCTCGACTTAAGAGTGGAAGGAAAGGAAAAACAGATGTGAGGAGGCAGAGTTGCAAGTTGTTTAACAGCTTTTCAAGGGGCTCATTGGCAGTTATGGTTGTTAATTAACTTGTCAACTTGAATGAAAAAGTTGGAATTGACAACCTGAATAATGTTCAATGTTCATGATCTAAAACGGACATAGCTACGTAGGTGTGCTTTCTATGGCCTCTAATAAGAGCCTTGACCCAAGTTGCAAATCAAAATTTCTTTTTATTTAAAATCTATTTGGCATTTAAATTTTAATTTACCTTGATTCTTTGTTAATTCAACCCTCGTTACTCAGTAAGTAATTTTAACATTGATTGATGTGATTTTATCCTGAAACAAACTAAATGCTAATAAAGTTTCTATTATTGTTTTATGAGATAAATTTTATATTTAACTACATTATTAGTATTAAATTTAATCCAATTAATTTATACCTCCTTCATACATACATATAAATTTTTTTTAAAGATTTACAAATAAATGTATTTGTTTCTGCCTTTAAATGAAAAAGTTTTTTTTTTTTTTCATAAATCCTGTTAAAGGAAGTTAAATCAGTGTCATAATGTTGTTGTATCCTAGTGAAGATTTAATTTGATTCCAATCATTGTCAAAATCATTAAGAAAAAAAATTAATTTACCAACTTTGTTGCCACGTTTCATTTCTTCAATATTTTGCGAATTGGAACCTTTTAAGCCATCACGTCCAATCATATTAAGATCAACTTTTTTTTTTTTTTGCTTTTTTCAATTACCATATTACATATGTGATACGAATTTTGATGTCAAAACATATATTTTAAATAAATTAGGGAGAGTCAAACTTTATACGAAATTAGATTTCTGTCTTCGCTTGACCGATGATTTTTTTTTTTTTGCAACATTATTTTCATTTTGTAACATTATTTCTTTTTTTCATTAGTAAAGAATAATAAAACGAAGGCATCGTTATCATTTTGCCTTTTAGCTACCAACTATTTGTCGCATTAAATTTATTTTCAAATACTTTATTAACACCAGCCATAATAAAAAAATCTGAAATAAATCAAATTAAAATTTATTTTCAAAGGAAAAAAAAAGATGCTCGCTAAATTTAAATTGAAGTAAAATTTTAACTGAATTAGAAAATATATTAAAAGAAAACAATATTCAAAAATATCTTAACATTTCACTACAAAAATTAAAAAAAATAGAATTGCATGATATCAATCGAAACTTCATGCAATCAACGATTATGGAACTCTCCTACAAAGCTATGTGCAGTGTATTATAATCATACCTTAGACAGAAGCAATGTATCATCTATAGGATGAAGATCCAAAAGCCAAGCAGCTGTCATAGTTTCTATTCCATACTATTGTTTAGAAAAGGAAGCAAATTTACTCTAAGTAAAATACTTGTAATAAGGCCAAAAATCCTGTCTTTGATTCATTCTTTGCAGTCTGAGCAACAAAACTATCAAAATTTGGTAAGTATTAGTAAGAATAATATTTGATTAATGCATATTAGAAAAGCAAGAAGTAGCTATGAGAAGAATATACCATTAGGTAGTGAACATCACTTCCATACATACCAACAGCTTTCATCTTATCTTTGACATCATGGGGTCCTTAAAATAAATATTGACCAAGAACGCAAAGAGAAGTAATCAATGAATAAGAAAGAAAATCTCATTCACAAACATTTTGAAAAGAGATACTTTGAGAAATAGTAAACACATTTAAGCCTATAAATCTAGTTCTTTATAAACAAAGTCTAGTTTATGACTTGTAAGTGTCCATAGAAAAAAAAAGCAAGAAAATAGGAAAAGGAGGGAAATCTCATAAAAAGAAAAAAACATGGCTGCTTGGTTTGTGGGTCTCAATATTCTCAAAGATTCAACCATTCAAGCTCCCTCCTCTTGGTACGATATTCATGATCAGGATTTACCTTTGTTTTCATTCTGGAGTAGAGTTGTAAATGGTTTGTTTAATCTCTTTTCTTTTTTTCTTCTTTAAGTTATTTGTAAAAATAGATACTATAAAAGATAAAATAGATTTACTTGCAGAAAAAATGGACCAAAGACATGTTCTCCCAGATACATCTACAGATTTTGGACCTCTTTATTATAGAAATATTATGATCGCAGATGACAACCCTTCATCTTCCTCAGCAAAAGAGAAACAAGAAAAACTTAATTTTGACTCTTATAAATATTTAATTGAAAACTTTAAATTAAAAATAGAAAAAATTAAAGATCCGAAGTAACAGGTCTAGTATTTTCAAGTTATAAAAAACCTTTATGAAGAACATAAAGGAATTTTTCAAAAATATAACTATCATTATATGTTTAACTATGACACAACCAGTGTTAGTAGTGAAGAAGCAGATAATGATATAGTAGAAGAAAATTTTAAAATTCTTGCTACTAAACTAATAGTTAAGAATGAACAAGTTCCATATGATAAAATCACATTTGATGATACTTCTAGTTTGAAGATCAAATAGATCCAGAACCACAAATCCCTATTTCTTAACCAAAGGATAGAGGAAAAAAAAGCATCAAAAATATCTAATCCAGATATTGATGATGTTCTATGATTTTCAAATTTACAAAATCCAAATCTTATGGAACAATATCTACCACATTTAATAGACAAATACTCTCATCTAAACAAGGATGAGATAAAGCAAACTTCAAAATCTGGCCAATCTAGTCAGATAAAACCAGAAGTCCTTATAATTGATTTGTTAAACAAACGAATGGTTGCTCAAGGTGGCACTTATTTAGATCTAACCAGAGTCTCTCTAAAAGACTATGAAAAAATCATAGATGATTGGGCGTAATCTATATCTTTTGTTGTTACAGGATACAAAGACACTTAGAATAAAAAAAAGGTTTCTTAATTACTTTTGTGGCACATGGCAATGTGATATCCTTCAATTTCTCAAAAAATGGGAAAATACAACTTTGAAAAACACTCAGAAAGATATGCTACAAGCAAAAGGCAATATACTTCAACTTTTAAAAGATTTAACACAGATCTTAAAAAATGAGTTTTGTGAGAGTACAAAAACACTGGATCCCAATCCAAGAGCTCAATATTTTCTTTCAAAATTAAAATTATGTGATAGTTGAAATCTTGATGATTTTTGTAAAAGATATATTTATGAATACCAAAATTGGATGAAAAACATTCAAAATTTTGGTTACAACAATTTTTTCTCAAACTTCGATTACCATGAGATGAATTATGTTCTCAAAATTATACTATTTATTTACAAGTCAAAATTTAAGCTTCAAATGCTGCAAACCCTAGTTTTGAGTTGTATGATACTTTAGGCTATCGTATAAAATACGTATAGAACCAAATTATCGAATATTGCCTCAA